ACCTATTTTTCTAAAAACTGATGTGGATCTAATCAGTTCTCTGCAGAAAGATATTCATTTTTTAATTTTTAAAAAAGATTTTATTTATTTATTTATTTATTTAAAGAGCACATGAGGGTGAGCAGGGGGAGGGGCAGAGAGGGAGGGAAAGAGAGAGACAGAGAGAGAGAACCTCAAACAGGCTCCATGACACGGGGCTTGATCCCATGACCCTGAGATCACCACCTGAGCCAAAACCAAGAGTCAGACACCCAGCCGACTGAGCCACCCAGGTACCCAGAAAGATAGTCATTTTTCAGCGAAGAAGCAAAATCATCTACTTCTAATAATGATACCTTAGGGGTTTAACTGCTCCCCCTCCGAAAGATGTTGCAGTCCTAACCCCCAGTACCTGCAAATGTGACCTTACTTGGAAACAGAGTCTTTGCAGATGCTCAAGTTAAGATGAGGTCATTAGGGTGGGCTCTAGCAAACAAATACATTACTATTCTTTCCTATTCTTTTTTTTTTTAAAGATTTACTTATTTATTTTGAGAGAGTGAGAATGAGAGAGAGAGAGAGAGAGAGAGCACATGGGAGGGGGGAGGGCCAGAGGGAGAAGCAGGTTCCTCGCTGAGCAGGGAGCCCGATGCGGGACTCGATCCTGGGACTCCAGGATCATGACCTGAGCCGAAGGCAGTCGCTTAACCAACTGAGCCACCCAGGCACCCTATTCTTTCCTATTCTTAAACTCTATTTTAAAATTGTTTGAGGGGCCCCCGGGTGGCTCAGATGGTTAAGCGTCTGCCTTCGGCTCAGGTCATGATCCCAGGGTCCTGGGATTGAGCCCCACGTCGGGCTCCCTGCTCAGCGGGGAGCCTCCTTCTTCCTCTCCCTCTGCCCTCTCCCAGCTTGTTCTTTCTCAAATAAAAATCTTAAAAAATAAATAAATAAAATTTGTTTTAGAACAGGAAAATAAATATGTAAAGAGCCTAGTTTTCAGTATTATAACACCCAATACTTGTAATTCATAAGCAAAAGGACATGATATCTAGGCTATACTTTCAATACTCTAGTCATTTTTTTTTTACGATTTTATTTTTAGGGACGCCTGGGTGTTTCAGTCAGTTAAGCATCTGCCTTCGGTTCAGGTCATGATCCCAGGGTCCTGGGATGGAGTCCTGCATTGGGGGGTCCTTGCTCGGCAGGGAGCCTGCTTCTCCCTCTGTCTCTGCCTGCTTCTCCCCCTGCTCGTGCTCTCTCTCTCTGATAAAATCTTAAAAAAAAAAAAAAGGAGATTTTATTTTTAAGCAATCTCCACACCCAATGTGGGGCTCGAATCCACAACCTGGAAAATAAGAGTCACGTGCTCCACCAGCTGAGCCAGCCAGGTACCCCTTATACCCCAGTCATTTAAAAGGGGGAGGGGATGAGACATAAGACACTGCAACTGCATTTGTATTTTCTAAATATCTTGTTAATTATTTGCTTGAAAATGTAATCAGGGAGCATTCTTATGCACTTACTAAAAAAACAACATTTTTCTGGGGCCCTTGGCCAGCTCAGTCGGTAGAGCATACAACTCTTGATCTCAGGGTTGTGAGTTCGAGCCCCACATTGGGTACAGAGGTTACTTAAAAATAAAATCTTTCAAAGTAAATAAATAAATATTTTTTTAAATTTTTTTCTGAAACTAATACAATGCTGTATATTAATTTTTTTTAAGATTTTATTTATTTTTGACAGAGACAGAGTATAAGCAGGGGAAGCAGCAGGCAGAGGGAGAGGGAGGGGTAGGCTCCCTGCTCAGCAGGAAGCCCGATGTGGGGCTCGATCCCAGGACCCTGGGATCATGACGCAGGCCGAAGGCAGACGCTTAACCATCTGAGCCACCCAGGCACCCCCAATGCTGTATATTAATTATACTTCAATAAAAAATAAAAATAAAAAACAATATTTCTTTCACACCCACTATGTGCCAGGCACTGTTGCAGGCATTGGAAATATTAAGAATAGTAAGATAGTAATAGTAGAGATAGTAGAGTAGTAAGATAGAGCCTGTTCTCTCAGAGAGTAATTATCAGAAATAATTGTAAGAGTAAAGTAATAAAGTAAGTAGTAAGTAAAAGTAGTAAGTAAAGTAGTAAGATAGAGCCTGTTCTCTCAGAGAGTAATTATCAGACATAATTGTAAGAGTAAAGTAACTTATCACCATAGCCCCAGTTAGAAAAATATATTTTTGGGGGGGGCGCCTGGGTGGCTCAGTCAGTGAAGTGTCTGCCTTCAGCTCAGGTCATGGTACTGGGGTCCTGGGATCGAGTCCCGCATCAGGCTCCTTGCTCCGCGGGGAGCCTTCTTCTCCCTCTCCCTGCTGCTTCCCCTGCTTGTGCTCTCTCTCTCTGTCAAATAAATAAATAAAATCTTAAAAAAAAAGGAAAAAATATTTTTAGAGAGAAATTGCCAAGAGCTGTACACAAATAATGAATTCATTCGCCTTTAACTTTCTCTTGTAGCTTTTTATCCACTCTCAATCATACTAAGATATTCTTTAGCAAGTGCTTAGTCTATCGAAGTTCCTTATCTCCCCTTCCTGGCACCTGATATGAAATTACACATTAAATAACATAATGTCCTTTTTTTTATGATTTTATTTATTTTTTGACAGAGAGAGAGACAGCGAGAGAGGGAACACGAGCAGGGGGAGTGGGAGAGAGAGAAGCAGGGTTCCGGCTGAGCAGGGAGCCCGACATGGGGCTCGATCCCAGGACCCTGGGATCATGACCTGAGCTGAAGGCAGACGCTTAACGACTGAGCCACCCAGGCGCCCCAATAATGTCCTATTTTTCATTTTAGTGACAGCAGCATGATGCCATGATGATAATTAATTTGAAATCAAAAAGGAAAATTACCTCTTGATTTGCCTGGGGTATTGATTCTAGATTATGTTTTAATGTTTTAATTTTTATTTTCCATTGGCAATTCTTCTCAGGACTTCACATAGGTATTACATAAATATACCTAAAGTCTAATAAAGCACCTGAAAGACATGCTTATTAAAAGAAAATAAAGCCCACTCTGTAAGTGCATCATTTGTAAGCTCTACTCATAAATAAAAAATTGCCATAATGCTTTTAAGTCAAAGTATATCATATTTCAGATGGTGATATATAATTAATTGCTGTTTTTCATTTCTAGTGATCAATGTCTGCATCCTTTTCCACTAAATTATATTTGGAATCATAGTATAAAATATATAGCATTATAACAATCAATTGCAATCGATTGATACAATGGTTATAACTAAGAATTGCATCTAAAAGAATCTTTGTACCACTCTGCACTACTCAGTGTGTAATGTAAGAAATACTTTATGTACTCGCCAATGAGAAAGCATCTTTAAAGTCAGTCACATTCTACACAGGCTCAATGGAAAGTCGGGCAGCCATTTAGGGAATTTGCCAAAAGAAGCCAGTCTGGAAAATTCTTCGGAAGGTCACAATGAGCTTTTGCTTCTGATCGGTTTGTCTGCACTTATTTCATCCCCAGGTCAGAAACATTTTTTTCTAGACTGTGGTTATCCCTGAGAGATAAACTGGTTTCCTAATCCTAACTCAGGAACTGGAAGGGAGAATATGGTCATCATTACAAGTAATGCTTTAGAAATTTGCTTTTTAGTCACAGGTTATCCAGCTAACTGGCCTTTATTAGTCATGTTCAAAGTTTTCCACTTTTAATTTGTTTTTATACTATACATATATAAGATGTCTGGCTTTTAGTTTACTGAAATATTTAACCCCTTTAATCAGTTCCACTGAATACAGATCTTCCTGTACATACGATGGGGTTATGACCTGATAAACCAATTCCAAGGTGAAAATATCATAATTCGAAAATGCAGTTAATACAACTAACCTACAAAACATCATAGCTTAGCCTAGCCTACCTTAAACGGGCTCAGAATACTTGCATTAGCTCATAGTTGGGCAAAATTATGTAACGCAAATCCTATTTTATAATAAAGTGTTGAATATCTCATGTAATTTACTCAAAGTGAAAAAGTGAAGTACTCAAAGTGAAAAACACAGTGGCTGTATGGTTACAGAATCGTTATAAGTGAATCTGTTACTCCTTGAGATCCCTTGACTGATAGGGAGGTGGGGGTTGGGGGGTGGGGGTCGGGTGGGCTGCAGATTGCTGCAGAGAGAGAGAATCTGTAACATAACCCTAGCCCTGGAAAAGATCAAAACTCAAAATTTTGAAGAACGGTTTCTACTGAATGCCTATTGCTTTCTCACCACCTTTAAGTCGAAAAATGGTTAAGTTAAATCATGTAAGTCAGGGACTGTCTGTAGTCTATATTGGATCAGTCCCGATCACAGGCTGTGTGACAGACAGTGGTTGACCAGGACTATTTGGTTCTGAGAGTATAAAGAGAAATTTTGAGGAGAAAGACCTATGAAGTCATGAAATAGAAAATAATAGGAGAAAATGATATTTTGGGAAGATATACCAAAATACCAAGGTTAGGTATGCACATAACAGTATTTTGGGCCACAGATCTTTTGGTACTTTGTGAGATAATTAATGTTTGTATTCAATTTGAGGTGGAGTAATTACTGTTTACTAAAGTACAATATGGAACACAGCTGCTAGTAGGTTCCCCAAACTTCTGACACTCAATGGATTCTGAGATACATACAATTATTACTTGGAAGGGCACACTTAGCAATGCACTACTGCGTGGTACCTCCAGAGCGTTTGTTAGTTAAGCGGAAGACGACCCGGGTTAAGGATACGATTTGATACCTTCTTACAGTTTCGCTCCCACCTCCCTCCAGGCGCACCCCAGGGATCAGGCGCTGCGCGCTGTGGAATCAGAGTGATAGTCCCAGACACTCGAAGCCCTCACTAGAGCAGCCGGCGGCGACGACCGGGCTCGTCCACACCCCGCGCGGGGACGCGCCCTTCGAACGGTGGGAGGCGGCGCGCGTCCCCCGGAGCCGGCGGGGAAAGCTCTGCCACCGCCGTGCACGCCAGCCCGGCCCAAGAATGAATGGAAAGTTCAATCTCGCGCGCTCGGCGCGGGCAGCCAATGACGCGGCCGGGAGCGGCGGCGGGCAGGTGTGCGCGTGCCGCCGCCTGACGCAGGGCTCGAGCCGAGGAGCCTGCTGCCGCCGCCGCGCCCCGCGGCCCCCCTCCGCCCCCAGCCCGGCCCCCTCCGCCCCCAGCCCGGCCCCCTCCTCCCCGCGCCCAGCCACCCGCCGGGCTGCGGCGGCGGAGCGGCGGCGACAGCAGATTCCACGCCCGGCAGCCGAGCGCCGCCCTCGCTCCCCGGCCCCTCCGCACCGCGTCCCCCCTCCGGCTCACAATGTGCTGACCCTCCCGGCCCCGCCGCGCGCATCCCGGGTCTCCGGCCGCCGCGCTCCCTCAGGAAGTGACAGGCCCCTTCCTCCGCCCCGTCCCCCCGGACTGAACGCCACACACGTACTCACACCCTCTTCCCCGCTCACACCCGGGCTAGCGACGCGACCATGAGGCCCCGGAGGTAAGCGGTCCGCCCCGCAGCCGGGCGAGTGCGAGTGGGGCGGGGTGTGCGCGCGGGTGCGGACGCCGCTCGCGGCCCCGGGTCTGGCACGTGAGCAACGTCGAGGGGAGCTCGGTGCCGAGGAGCAGGAAGAAAGGTGGAGGCGCGAGCTCCAGGCAGGGCAAAGGACAGGGCAAGGTGGGAAAGTGACAGGTCTCGCAGCAAGTTGTCGTGCGGGAGCCGGAGCTGCGTCCTTCCTTCGCCGGCCCTGATTTATTGCCCCCGTGTTACCACTGAGATGCGGGCGGTCGATGTACTTCCGGGTTCACACCTTTCACTCCCCGCTCCGTGCCGCTGGGTCGGCGCTCGGTGCCGCCGCTGCGGCGCCAGCGCGGTCGCCCAGTGTCTCCGCCGCCGTCGCCGCCCGGCGGTCGGAGCCGGCTGGAAGCGGGAGGGCCGGGCAGGGAGGGGGCGCGGGCGACTCGGGTCGCAATGGTACGGCGCCGGCTGGGGTCCTGGCGGCCGGTTCCCGCGGCGGGTGCTGGCGCCTCGGACATGCGGGGCCGCACCAGCAGAGGGCGTCCGCACCTGCCCTTCGCGCACTCCGCCAGCGGTGCTGCTTTGTAGCAGGCAGGCGTCGGGGATCCTTTCTGCTTCGGTAGCGGTGGTGTAAATTAATGAATTAAAACTAAGGATTTGAGGAGAACGGAGAAAAACCCACTTGGAGTTAGATTGCTTCTGAAAAGAAAAAAACCCGATGCATTTGCAGGAGCATTAACTGACTACTGACTGGAACATCGGAAGCGGGTGCATTACGAGGATTTGTCCTCCAAAACTTTTTTTTTTAATTGCACGTTGGTAAATATTGAGTGTTTTCGAGTAACATCTTACAGTATGTATTTAGTGTCCTCATTGCGGAAATTTCTTAAATGTAAGTAATAGTCCGCCATTTTGAATTGTTTCATGTAACACAGACTGAAATCTTAGGTTCCTGTGTTTCTTTGAGTTCCTTTCTGCTCCTTCTGTGGATTTGTTTTCATCGATAGGTTTTTAAGGTTACCAGGTATGATTACTGTTCATAGAACTAAATTCTCCAGTGAAGATTTTTATATCTACAATTGTTAATGCAAGGGAAAAATAAATTATAATTGTGTTTTATTGTTTTTATTTCTTAGTCACAAATATTGTGGAAGTTAAAATTATACATGACAACTAATGTTAGAATGAATTTAAAACATTTTATAATATCGTTGGATTTTTGTGATTTTTACTCCGATAAAAAAAAATTCTCATGTTTTCTTTTTTGTCCAGATTATTACCATAGTTGGCTAGGTGATAATGTAAAAATGCTCTCTGAAATGCATTTGTTGGTATAGCAAATTTTTAAGTCCAACAATAAGTTATGAAACATCACAATTTAATTTTATAAAAGATTTAAAATTTAAAATTAAATTCTTGGAAATTTATGCCAGTTTATGTGATTTTCTAAATATAAATTTGCAATAAAATTTATGCCATTTTTTTTTCTTGCTACGGCTGTGCACACATCTGAGAGAGGAGTCATACTATAAGTTAACAACAGAACATGTAATAATCAATATTCCATTTAGATTAATAATTAGACACTTGTCCATTTGGGGGAGAATTCTTGCTTCTCAAATTCTTTATCTCTGAATGTATGAAATAGGACAATACAGCATGCCTAAATTTACTAAACAGCTTCAGGAATTAAACTCACACAGGCCTCTTTCTAGTACTTGGTAGGGAGGGGAAGATAATACAAATGAACAAAATGCTTTATTTGAGTTATCTATTTTACAAATAGGATCCACTAATCATTGCTTGATAATAAAATGTCAAGAATTTAAGTATCTGGATCAATTTGTAATGCATATTCGTTATAAGACCTGTTTATAGGTGCTTCTCTGTTAACAGATCTGGAACCAAATGACTCAAGGATCAGTTCTCATTAATCCTTGTCCAGTTGTAGTATCTTATTATCTGTCTGTGCCAAACTTCTCTCAGAAACAATGAAAAATTTGTTGTGAAATTAATGAGGATTTAAATTAAAAATCTGTGTTATGGGGAAATACACTATACTTTGTAAGTGAAACAAATTGAGTATTAATGTGGTAGTGCTCAAAGTCAGTCTTCAGAATGATTTAAAGTGTGTTGCACATGTAAATTCCAAAAAACACCAGGATTTTAGTAAATATAGTGGTTTTAAAGTTTTTTATTTTAATCCTATTCACTCTGAAGAAAAAGATTAAGCAGATCTTACCTCTCTGATAGTTTGCTATTTGCTATCTGATCATGTATAACTTTTTTTGGTATTTGTAACATGCTGCTATCATAATTTACAAACTATGATTAAAGGAAAATAAGTTATTTAATAAAACATATATGCAAAACATATGCTCGGATTTAGAACTGATGTCTCTTTAAAATAAAATGCTATTAAGCAATTTTGGGGACTATATTAGAAGGCTCCAGTCAGAAAATGACCTTTAAATGTTTATCTTAATCCATAGTTGAGTTGATTTTAAAGAAAGGAAAGTGGAAATTCATGGATGAAACAAGTTAGAAGTAATTAAAACTGTTGATTATGAAAGGGCCATTGCAAAATTTTGGTCAGCTAAAGAGTTTTCTTATTTGATAATTTTTAAATCTTAATTCCTTTTAAAATTCTGTAAGTCCACAAATGCCCAAAGTTTTAATGTTTAAATGCTTAGAACCTGTACCTAATCTTCTTGCCTTCTAAAGGAACTGTATTATCTTTTCAAATAAGTACTGTTTTTTTTGTAAGTACTGTTTTTGTTGAACCACAAGAAAAAAAGAATTTCTAGCTTGCTACTCAGAACAATGAAAATTCCTTACATTAAAAAATTAAGATTGATTCATATCAACATATCTAGGAATATATGAAATACAGACTCACATTGGTTTGCCCACTGTGTACATGTATACTGTGTTGTAGTTCTCGCACACAATGACTCTATAAAGTCGCTGACCATAGTGCTGAACCAAGACAGCCATATTGGTCACTGCTAAATCTGACTGAAAACTGTACACAGAAATTGTATAGAGGTTCAATTGCATCATCACTGTAGGAAATATATACATTATATTTCATACATACTTTTTTATGTATTCTTTTTATCCAACTGTATTGAAATGAACCAGAAATTACGATAGAGAAATTTTATTTCTTAAGTATATTAATTTACTGTATAAAATTGATTTTGAATAATGTCAGTAAAATCAATGGGATCAATGCTAGAGGTTTTTCCTTTCTTTGAAAGCTGCCACTTAGATGAAGACAAGATTTTTAAAACCAATTTAAGCAACCAGTGAATTCTCTCAAAAACTACACTTTCAGTTGATACCACTGTAAGTTTGAGTAGGAACTTGATATTTGCATTTTTATTCAGGTTTATATTCTGGCACTATCAAAATCAACATGACAACATGTGATTATTGAAGTTAATAAAGTTGGAAATCACTCAACTAAATTCTACTTAGAAACAATATAAGCAATTTCTAGAGAAAGAGAAAAATATAAATTTTGAAATTATAATGATCTTGATTTAGCACTTTGAGGAAATTTTCTATTGTCTGAAGCAGGATAAACACCAGGCTGTCATTGCTTACAATATTACTGAGTTCTACATTCTGTGAAATGAACACTGGTGTGAAACCTTTGTAGAAATTACCTGAAAAGGAATGTTGTAATACGTTTAATATTTCAGTAAAAAGTACTATTTTAGGCATAGAACTTTGACATTATTTTCCTAAAAATAGAATGGGTTGATATGCAGGATCATCAAATTAAGGGTCAAAGGTGACAAACCAGGACAAAGGGCATGCAGCTCATTTTCAAGCAATCAGTTTCTAGTTTTTTCATGGCTGAACAAAAGCTTAATTATATAGAAAAAAGGACTTAGTGTTGAATGACCAGTTCTAGTGGTGGAAAAACATGTTTTAAATTTGCTACATATTTCAAATCACTATTTTTTATTTGGGGATGCAAGAACCAAAATGCTACTTTTATATTTTTCAAACATTCTTTTATGTAACATTTTTTTCAGACTCTACAAAAGCATTTCAATGAAAATATTCTATGCTGTAAAGGCTAAAAACAGATTTCACTTTTTTTGTAGTTTTAAATTTTTGAAAAAAATCTGTAAATTAGGTTTTATCTTTTTGCATTAGTCTCTTAGTATATAATTTCTGCTAGTTAAAATCCTATTATTTTTATTTAGTATTACATTTATTACACCATTAGATCATTGGCAGTGATGTAAGAGTGAGCAGCCTCTAAAACATTTCTTGATCTTTGTTAAATGTTTATTGAAAGTATTTCAAATGCACTGAAAGTTCTCATTTAGTTGTTAATCTCTTGTGATATAAATTTTTAACCACTAATGTTGTTTATTAAAACTTAAAATGTATTGTCAAATAAAATTGTTTTGTTAATACTGTAACTAACTAGAAGTGTTTAGGTTTATTTAGAGTCATTTTTGCTTACCATATCAAGAAGCTACTCTAAAGTTTTCATCTTACAGTTATGGTGGGCCTTCAAAGTATATGTGATTAGCTTCATTAAGACAGGAATTTTGCTATTATTTTGACTCTTTAATCTAAAACCACTGTTGTTTTTATTTTCTTTTACTCAGTGTAACCTCAACAGTGACTCAACTATGAGCTTTATTACATAAAACTATTCTTTCTTATGGTGAAAAATAGAGTTTTCATTAGCAGAACCAGCTGCTGTGCCTTAATTGTGTTACAACATTCACATTCAAGTTGAAGAATTGTTTACCAATTAACATTTAACATTTGTGCCATAGTGCCTTTAAACAGTATTGACAATTTGCCAGTTGAATTATATTATTATTTATTGAAGTTTTTTAT